CTCAAGAAGACAAATCTTTCACAATGTAAGGAGTATCATTAGACCAAAGACTCATTCGTATTCATACAACTACCCAATTTAATATATATATATATATATATATATATATATATATATAAACACAAAACTAAACATAATCAACATTTCTAAAAACTTAGCAATATTTTCATATCAAAAAAAAAACAATCTCACGAGTTAAACAAAATGTAAAATATGTACTTTTATAAAACATAACGATCTATTAGTACAAGAAATTAATGCAAAAAAGTTGAACATCCTTCCCGAACCATCTACTCTCTTAGTGACATCTGAAAAAATTATAAAATTATTGTTACAATACTGAAATAATATTTATATACATATATATAATAAATAACTAAAGAAGTTAGAATATACATCAATAGAGGGCCACACAATATTTCTCTGAACGGCTTGTCCAATTATTTAAATGGTATATAAACGAGTCATATCGTATACATTTCTTCTAACTGATTTCACAAATACCTGATTCGTTTATAATCGTATTGTGATGAGTCCATTCGTTTACTAAACAGGTGGTTTAAGGAATACTCAAATCCACTAATTTTATGTCGTGTTAACGGGTCGTGTCATATTTTGGCACCCCTAATTTTGATATAAAAACTTGACTTTGTAAAGTTTAATTTTTTTTTCTTTGAACTAGAAATTGTCTTTTGATGTTAAACTATGTAATTTTATAAAATATTACTTGTAACATGAAAAATAATTGTGATCAATACAAATTTTTTTTAGAGTTTTTCTTCTTTAAACTATAAAATATTTTTTAATTTAAAACAACATTTTAATGTTTTATGAAATATTATATACGATGAGAAAAGTAGTTGTCATAAATATAAAAATTTTTTTTGAATTTATAAAATATTATTTAAGACATGAAAAACTGCTGTCTTAAATACAAAAATTTCTTTTGAGTTTATGACACTATTTATGACAGAAAAAATAGTTGTCACAAATATTAACACAAACACGCTTTTTGTGACGATAAAAATAGCCACCACAAAAAATTGTCTCAAATACATCTTTTGTGACGACAAACACAAAAGACCTTCGTTCTTGTAGTAGAAATATCAAAACTTATGATTGTTGACCGGATGAATAAATATAATTTCAAGTTTTTTGTTTTATCAGGTTCTGAAGGGGTAGAGAATAACAAAAGGAACATTTACATGCCAAGTACAAGCCCGCCAAGTGTGATAAAAGCATACTTTGAACAATTTCAAAGAGATTTCTCCTTGTTCCTAAAGTGTCGTTCCAAGGAACTAGTCACTGNTATAAGATAAAAGGATTTTTACGGCGGTAAAGTGCTGTCATAAAAAGTCTATTTGCCGTCAGAAATACTTTTTGTGGCGGCTTTGTGACGCTATTGCCACGTCATAATAAGTGTAGTCTTAAAATTTTTTTATTGTAACAACGGTTTGTCTCAAATAGTNAGAAACATCGAAAAATAATTTTGTTCATTCAAAAAAATTGTTTTAATGATCAAAATATTGGGCTATAAAATTTTGTTCAAGACAAGTCAGAAAGCTCGTGAAATATACTCACAAGAAAGATAGATACTCAAGGGCATACATAGNTCCAGTCGTAAATAAATTGTCATAAAAAATCCGATACTTTTGATTTTATAATGGCAACAAAAGTGCTGCCTCAAATATCATATTTGGCTATCGTAAAAAATATAAGATATATTTATGACGGCAACAAAGCCGTGAAATTTTATTTTTTTTTTGAATTATTATGGACCGTTCGTAACCAATATTATATACTCTGTGCATATATACACTCTATACAATTTTTTATTTTTTTTGGTGGGGGAGGGGATAAGGGGACTTGAACTCTTGATCTCAAGAAGACAAATCTTTCACAATATAAGGAGTATCATTAGACCAAAGACTCATTCGTATTCATACAACTACCCAATTTAATATATATACATATATATAAACACAAAAGTAAATATAATCAACATTTCTAAAAACTTAGCAATATTTTCATATCCAAAAAAAAACAATCTCACGAGTTAAACAAAATGTAAAATATGTACTTTTATAAAACATAACGATCTATTAGTACAAGAAATTAATGCAAAAAAGTTGAACATCCTTCCCGAACCATCTACTCTCTTAGTGACATCTGAAAAAATTATAAAATTATTGTTACAATACTGAAATAATATTTATATACATATATATAATAAATAACTAAAGAAGTTAGAATATACATCAATAGAGGGCCACACAATATTTCTCTGAACGGCTTGTCCAATTATTTAAATGGTATATAAACGAGTCATATCGTATACATTTCTTCTAACTGATTTCACAAATACCTGATTCGTTTATAATCGTATTGTGATGAGTCCATTCGTTTACTAAACAGGTGGTTTAAGGAATACTCAAATCCACTAATTTTATGTCGTGTTAACGGGTCGTGTCATATTTTGGCACCCCTAATTTTGATATAAAAACTTGACTTTGTAAAGTTTAATTTTTTTTTCTTTGAACTAGAAATTGTCTTTTGATGTTAAACTATGTAATTTTATAAAATATTACTTGTAACATGAAAAATAATTGTGATCAATACAAATTTTTTTTAGAGTTTTTCTTCTTTAAACTATAAAATATTTTTTAATTTAAAACAACATTTTAATGTTTTATGAAATATTATATACGATGAGAAAAGTAGTTGTCATAAATATAAAATTTTTTTTTGAATTTATAAAATATTATTTAAGACATGAAAAACAGCTGTCTCAAATACAAAAATTTCTTTTGAGTTTATGGCACTATTTATGGCAGAAAAAATAGTTGTCACAAATATTAACACAAACACGCTTTTTGTGACGATAAAAATAGCCACCACAAAAAATTGTCTCAAATACATCTTTTGTGACGACAAACACAAAAGACCTTCGTTCTTGTAGTAGAAATATCAAAACTTATGATTGTTGACCGGATGAATAAATATAATTTCAAGTTTTTTGTTTTATCAGGTTCTGAAGGGGTAGAGAATAACAAAAGGAACATTTACATGGCAAGTACAAGCCCGCCAAGTGTGATAAAAGCATACTTTGAACAATTTCAAAGAGATTTCTCCTTGTTCCTAAAGTGTCGTTCCAAGGAACTAGTCACTGGAGGCCGAATGGTTCTAACTTTTCTTGGGAGGAAAAGTGAAGATCCCTCTAGCAAAGAGTGTTCAAAAGTTGCGAAGAAACATCGAAAAATAATTTTGTTCATTCAAAAAAATTGTTTTAATGATCAAAATATTGGGCTATAAAATTTTGTTCAAGACAAGTCAGAAAGCTTGTGAAATATACTCACAAGAAAGATAGATACTCAAGGGCATACATTGTCGAGTCTAGAATATAACATTCTCATAAACTTAATTAGCTAGTTTTGTAAATTTAACTAGTTTTTTTTTTTTTCAAAAAAAGAGTTTTAATGTTCAAAATATTCAAATATGAAATATAGTTAATACATGTTAGAAAGCTACCGATTGTATAGGCATACAACAAATATTAAAGGGTACAAACTATCTAGTCTGGAATATAACGTTCTCATAACTCAAGAAACTAAGTACACATTTCACACTGAGGGTAAGATGCTTTTGTCTTCCATTAAAAAACATGGTTAGACCAAGATAAATAAGCTATTTACTACCGATCAAATAAAAAAAGAAGGGAAAAAAACCTAGACTCTCATAACTAGAGGTGTTAGACCCAACACTACGTACTCGAAATTAGGAGTTTTTTCTACATAAACTTTTAATAGACATGTTCTTGTTTTGATATAAAATAAAATGGGTTTAGATCCTCACAATTTTAAATTTTATCAATTTTAGTTGAGTTTTATCTTAAAATTTTCTCTATTGCACGTTTATAGGTCATATTGACATTCGATAAGATCCAATGAATTGAACGATGGGTGGTTGAACCATCACTGTGTATAACTAAACTTGAAAGAAATTGACGAAAAAAAAAGTACTTGAAATTGGGAAGATCCAAATCCAAATCCAAATCGGATTTTACATAAAATTTAAATGACACAAATTTTGGACCTAAAAGAGTCTGAACATTTTTACTTCTGGGTTCTGAAAGGGTTTTTCATTTGGCTTATAGCGAACAAGGTTTGACCTGCCGGCTATTAGATGACAAGAATTACGTTGGCCAAGTTCTTTAGTGTGATAATTTATTGCCCGCCTCAAATTTGTATCCAAAATTTGCATTCCAAATTAATAAAGATAGTTGAATCAATAGGTTCCAATAACTTTTTTTTGATGAACCTACTCATCTAACCATCGAAAGCTGCTGAAATAAATCGAAAGACACCTGCAATAATCGAAAACTAGTTTTTTCCTTCCAAAAATGGTTTTAATGGTCAAAATAATTGCATAGAAAATGTAATTTAATGCATATCATAGAGTTGTTCATAGTATATTCACAAGAGAGATACTCAAGGGTACAAATTATTGAGTCTAGAATATAAAATTCTCACAACCTTAACTAGTTTTTTATTTTATTTTTTCCGTCAAAAAATGGTTTTATCGATCAAAATATTTAGGTATAAAATATAGTTCAAAGACATGTTACAAAGCTGTCTTAAGTGTACTCGCAAAAGACATACTAAGGGGTACAAACTATCTATGTAAGTACACATTTCACGCTAACGATAGGATGCTTTTGTCTTCCATTAAAAAAACATGGTTAGATGAAGACAACTGGACTATCTCATGACAATCAAAAAAAAGAAAAAAAGAAAACTACACTTTCATAATCCGAGGTGTTCGATACAACACTTCATACTCGCACTTGAGAGGTTTTTCTACGTACACTCTAATTGACCTATTCTTTGTTAATATGGATGAGGAAATTGAAAGTACGTGTACGTACTTTGTTCCCATCAAATTGAATCTTATTTATACTTCACATGCATAAAATCATGCACCTTCTAGTTATGTTAACATCAATGCAGGCCCTCGTGGAAGAAGAGAAACTTGATTCATTCAACATTCCTCAGTACACATCGTCCCCATCAGAAGTAAAATCTGAGGTCGAAATGGAAGGATATTTTGGAATCGACCGCCTTGAGGTTTTTGAAATCAACTGGAATGCCTACAACGATAAATCATCGGACTTCTATAAGGACGGTGCATACAATGTTGCAAAGTGCATGAGAGCTGTGGCTGAACCCTTGCTTCTCAGTCACTTTAGTGCAGCGATAATTGATGAGGTGTTCAGCAGGTACAGGAAGATTGTGGCTAATATAATGTCCAAAGAGAGAACTGAGTTCATCAATGTCACTGTTGCAATGACTAAAAAGGGGTGGTGATCATCAAAATAGCTTGTTTGTAATATTGTTTTTTTTTTGGGTGGAATCTCGACGGTGCGAGAGAGATTTTATTAATTAAAATTTAAAATTACACCCAACCAAGAGGAACGGATGTACTTTACCCTCGATGCAATCTAATTACATGCCAAAAACAAAATGAAAGAAGGCAAAAATGCAAGCTTATTACAAGCAACAGAAAAGTAAGAATAAAAGCGAAGCATATTGCCTAAGCTGCTGCAAGAATGAGCTGAGAGGATTCACTGAGCTGAGGACTGCAGTAATCTTGAAACCTAGGGCAGAGTCAACCATTAATGGCAACTGAGCTGAAGGCATATAAATGATGCAGCGCTGATGTGTTAAGTGCCAGCTGAAGGAAAGAGGCATATAAGGAAGCTAATGGGACGCTTGATAAGGAGGCGAATGAAGAGCCTAATAAGGAGACTGAAGCGTCTGATAAGAAGACTGAAAGGCGTCTGAGTAAGCCACTTTGGAACACCAAATGCTAATCAGATGGACAGACTCAGAACGATAATCAGAGAGAATCTCTGGAAACTCATTCGATGGTTCTGAGAAAATCCTTTGTTGCTTCAAACTAAGGAAGAAGATGAATACCCATTGAAGAAATTCCATCAGTTGAAGCAGAAAAGACAGAGAAGACTTTAACTGCTGCAACTTAAAGAAGATGATCCATAGCGAGAAGACTATGAAGGAAGAAGAAGATGAATATCCAGCGAATGAGGAAGCCTTAAAGCTTAAACTGCCATTCTGCAACTATCCCTTGCCATGGAGAAGATGAATATCCAGCAAATTGAAGGGGATTGCAGCTGTCAGAAGACCTGAAGCCTGGGCCTGAGAACAGTTCAAACCAAAGCTCCCCCGTCCTGATGCTCCGAAGAAACAAAGCAGAGTAATATTGAGATGGATGAGCCTCCTCCAAATGACAAAGTGATTCTGAATGCCTTTATGAGAACTCTTGATTAGTCCTGTTATATCCATTCTTGTATATGAAAAGTTTTCTCTAATTAAGAAAAGTGCCCAGTCCCCAGAATGTATATATATATATATATATATTTTGCTTCCTAACACCAGTCCATTCGCCTGAATAAAGGTAGATGCTATAAAAGTTGTGACTTCAATCTTGAAGTTGTAGTCTTAGAACGCAGAGATCTAATCTGTCTCTGATCCTGCCATAGCAGTTGCTTGGTTTGGATCGGTAGTGTTGTAGAAGAGGAATAGGACACAGAAGTTCTGTTCTGAACACCTAGATTCGCCAATGAGTCTGCCACAGTATTTCCCTCTCTATATGAATGCTGGATTTGAAAGTCGAAATACTCAAGTAAAGAAAAGATTTGATAATAAATGTTCCAGTGTCTCCAACTAGGCAACTTCTTCTGTTTAACCATGTTAACTAAAACCTGAGAATCACTTTCAATAGTAAGTGGATAGACCTCCAAACTAAACTCTTTTAACAAACGCAAACCATCAAGCAAAGATCTCATTTCAGCTTCCATATTAGTTCAAACTCCATAGAAGAAGGATCCAACTAGAACCAGAATACCCCAATGATTTCTCAGAGCCACTCCTCCACCCGAAAGTCTTGGATTGCCCTTAGAGGCACCATCAATATTGAGTTTAAGATTTCCTTCAGGTGGTAATCCATTTCCTTCAGGTGATATTGTTCAATCTGTTGAACAATCTAAAGACATACAAGAGATAAGAAAGAGAGGAGACTAGGGTTTTATTAATACTGCATAATTTTAATTGAATACAAGGGAATAATTTAACCTAAATACAAAGAGACTATATATAAGCTAAACAAGGTAGAGAAAGTAAAAGACTATTCTACCCTTAATAAATAAAATAACCCTATATTTCTTAACATCTCCCCTCAAACTCACGATGTAGCAGCGACAAGAATCGAGAGTTTGCCAACTAGAAAACGAAATCGATAAATAGAATGCGACTTGGTAAAGAAATCTGCAATCTGCAAAGAAGAAGAAACAAAGGGTAAAGTAATGGTGTCATACTTGAGATGATGACGAGTAAGGTGACAATCGATCTCAATGTGTTTAGTTCGTTCATGAAAAACCGAGTTGTGAGCAATCTGAATAGAACTCCGGTTGTCACAATACATAGGAGTGGGATGAGAAAGAGAAACTCCTATATCTGCAAGTAACCAACGTAACCAAACAATCTCTTTGGTAGTAGATGTCATAGCACGATATTCTGCTTCGGTGTAAGATTGAGAAACAATAGATTGTTTCTTGCTCTTCCAAAAAATAATAGAATCACCCAAAAAGATACAGAAATCAGTAACAGATTTGCGATCTGTGGGATCACTGCCATGATCAGCATCAGAGTATGCACACAGCTCCAAGGAAGAGGTGGATGGAAGTAAAAGGCTCTGAAAGACTGTACCCCAAAGATACCTCAAAATACGAAGAACCGCTGCCTAATGAATTGTAGTAGGAAANAAGGGAATAATTTAACCTAAATACAAAGAGACTATATATAAGTTAAACAAGGTAGAGAAAGTAAAAGACTATTCTACCTNTCCAGTGTCTCCAACTAGGCAACTTCTTCTGTTTAACCATGTTAACTAAAACCTGAGAATCACTTTCAATAGTAAGTGGATAGACCTCCAAACTAAACTCTTTTAACAAACGCAAACCATCAAGCAAAGATCTCATTTCAGCTTCCATATTAGTTCAAACTCCATAGAAGAAGGATCCAACTAGAACCAGAATACCCCAATGATTTCTCAGAGCCACTCCTCCACCCGAAAGTCTTGGATTGCCCTTAGAGGCACCATCAATATTGAGTTTAAGATTTCCTTCAGGTGGTAATCCATTTCCTTTAGGTGATATTGTTCAATCTGTTGAACAATCTAAAGACATACAAGAGATAAGAAAGAGAGGAGACTAGGGTTTTATTAATACTGCATAATTTTAATTGAATACAAGGGAATAATTTAACCTAAATACAAAGAGACTATATATAAGCTAAACAAGGTAGAGAAAGTAAAAGACTATTCTACCCTTAATAAATAAAATAACCCTATATTTCTTAACATCTCCCCTCAAACTCACGATGTAGCAGCGACAAGCATCGAGAGTTTGCCAACTAGAAAACGAAAACGAGAAATAGAATGCGACTTGGTAAAGAAATCTGCAATCTGCAAAGAAGAAGAAACAAAGGGTAAAGTAATGGTGCCATACTTGAGATGATGACGAGTAAGGTGACAATCAATCTCAATGTGTTTAGGTCGTTCATGAAAAACCGAGTTGTGAGCAATCTGAATAGAACTCCGGTTGTCACAATACATAGGAGTGAGATGAGAAAGAGAAACTCCTATATCTGCAAGTAACCAACGTAACCAAACAATCTCTTTGGTAGTAGATGTCATAGCATGATATTCTGTTTCGGTTTAAGATTGAGAAATAGTAGATTGTTTCTTGCTCTTCCAAGAAATAAGAGAATCACCCAAAAAGATACAGAAATCAGTAACAGATTTGCGATCTGTGGGATCACTGCCATGATCAGCATCAGAGTATGCACACAGCTCCAAGGAAGAGGTGGATAGAAGTAAAAGGCTCTGAAAGACTGTACCCCAAAGATACCTCAAAATACGAAGAACCGCTGCCCAATGAACTGTAGTAGGAGAAACAACAAACTGACTAACAACATGAACAACATATGCAATATCTGGACGAGTAATAGTGAGATATACCAAGCTCCCAACAATAGTACGGTATAAAGTAGGATCTGACAAAGGTAAACCATTAGAAGAGGAATACTTTGCGTTAACCTCAATAGGAGTATCTACAGTCTTATTATCAGTAAGTCTAGCTCGCTCAAGAATATCTGCAACATATTTCGACTGAGAAAGAAGATAACCTCTGGGTGAGCAGGCTACCTCAATACCCAAGAAATATCGTAGAGAACCCAAATCCTTCATTTCAAACTGTCTAGCTAACTCTGTCTTCAAAACTGAAATACCATTAATATCATCACCAGTAATAATTATGTCATCAACATATAAAGACAGAATGATACGACCTGCATCAGTGCACTTAACAAAAAGAGCAGAATCATGACTACTAGAAGTAAACCCAAGGGAAGAGATCACAACAGAAAATTTCTCAAACCAAGCACGAGGTGCTTGTTTGAGACCATATAACGCTTTCTTGAGCTTGCAAACATACCCAGAATCATGTGAAACACCAGGAGGGGGAGCCATATAAACTTCTTCTTGAAGATCCCCATTCAAGAAGGCATTTTTAACATCAAGTTGAGAGATATGCCACTGACGAACCGAAGCAACTGCAATAAGAGTACGAATAGTAGTCATTTTTGCAACAGGAGCAAATGTCTCCTCATAATCCATACCATACTGTTGAGAGTACCCTTTTGCAACCAACCTAGCTTTGTATCGCTCAACAGATCCATCAGAATTGGTCTTAATTTTATACACCCAACGACAACCAACAACACTCTTACCAGGAGGTAGAGGAACCAAATCCCAAGTACCTGTCTTATGCAAAGCAGAAAGTTCCTCATCCATAGCTTGCTGCCAAAGAGGGTCAAGAATTGCCTCTTTATAGGAAGAGGGCTCAGAGAGACAATGAATAGAAGCTAAAAAGAAAGTAAAAGATGAAGAATAACAAGAATAAGTAAAATCTGGTAACTTTGTGGACTTACGAATGCGTGTGGATTGACATAGAGGTGGATCCACAATCTCAGACGAAGCTTGAGGGACCATAGGAGAGGAGGTAGCTTCAGGTGTGCTAGAGAGTAAAGTGTCAGTACCTGTAGAATGATCAGTGCTGGTATTTGAAATATTAGAAACCTGAGATGACAAACTATCAGAATCATCAGAAAAAGGATCTATACGAATAAGATCAGATCTAGTCAAGCTATAAGTAGTGGATGGAATAGAAAAGAAAGGTATATGCTCAAGAAAAACAACATGACGAGACACATAAAGTTTTTGAGTTATTGGATCAAAACAACGATACCCCTTTTTACCTTCACCATATCCAAGAAAGACACAAATAGCAGATCGAGAGGACAGCTTGTTGCGTTCAACATGAGGACGAAGAACAAAACAAGTACAACCAAAAACTCTAAATGAAGAATAATTAGGGGCATACCCATACAACTTTTCGAAAGGAGAAACACCTGAAATATGAGAAGATGTAATTGTATTAATCAAACCTACAGCAGTAAGAACAGCTTCACCCCAAACTCACTAGGAACAGAAGAAGACAACAAGAGAGAACGAACAGTTTCAACAATATGTCTATGTTTTCTTTCAGCAACACTATTTTGCTCAAAAGTATCTGTACACGAAGTTTGGTAAATAGTTCCATCTAAGGCAAGCAACTCAACAAATTTATTAGAAGTATACTCCCCACCCAAATCACACCTAAAATATTTGATAACAGCAGAATGTTGAGTTTTGACAAGAGCTTGAAAGACTATATATATCTCAAAGAATTCAGAACGTTGTTTCATTAAATAAATTCAACAATAACGAGTATGATCATCAATAAAAGAAACATAATATGAAGACCCTCCTTTTGTGGTAACAGGAGAAGGTCCCTATACATCAGAAT